GTTCATGAGACACTGGTATTTAATAGAAACACAACCACTACTCAACGAAATATACAAAAATCCGTTTCTCGTATCTTACAAAAGAGGACGGTCGCCCAAAGACATACTCAATGGGGCCAAACTTTGAATAGGCTACTCTAAACACGCGCTGGGGAGTCGTGTAGGCCTGTCAACCCCATTTTACAACAATTTCTCGTCTAACTATTTCCCGAACAGTGTGTTCTGAATGAAGGTGGTTTCTTTGTAACCCATAGTGACGTAGCCTTCTCTTCAAAGTCCTCACGTTCATTGAAATCCCATGGTATTCTGCCAGAAAGTGAACAATGGTCTCATAACGAAATCCCTTGTTAAAGTAATGTTCTATAGCCAATCTTTCGTCTCCCGAGCTGGACAACACACTTTCCTCTTCACGCCATTTTAGTGTTCCACAACAACGGCAGAATGTTTCATTGTCCCCACATTCTCTTCCACATTTATGACAGAACATGTTCTATGCTTGTTCCTTCGCCATTTTGTATGCCGGATGATGCAGGATATGGCAAGAAAACACTGGGTGACTGCTGGCGCAAATAGCACGTGACAAAATATTTTTTTGGATTTTCAAAATATTTTCGGATTTTGAAAAAAATATTCGGATTTCAAAATATTTTTTTGGATTCACAAAATATTTTCGGATTTTTAAAAATTTTTTTGGATTTCTAAATATTTTTTTGGATTTGCAAAATATCTTTGGATTTGTCAAACTTTTCGACGGTGAGATTAAAATAAATATTGCGATTTGAAATATTTTTCGGGATTTGAAAAATATTTTTGGATTGTCCCTTTTCGGCTTCCGTACTTTACACCCTAACATCAGTATGCATATTCTCCACATTGTTCTCTACACATTTCCTAAGGTGCTGATAAGGAGAATTAGTTTCATAATCAAGAGCTTCTTTTGTTAGTCATTGTTTTTTGTCCTCTCTCCTTGAAGTTTGATTCAGAGATGATATTGTAAGGGGAAATTTGATGCTAGTCACTCTTAAGAGTTGAACAGTTAAATCTTTAGTCATACTCTGGTGAAAATAATTATCTGCAACCATATACAGGTTAGTATTTTTCAATCCACAGCATTCAGAACAGCGGACCATTCCAAGCCTCAAGAAACTCACAAAGGAGCTACACCACTATAAACATACACACAACCCACAATTCTTCCATTTTCTCTGACGAAGGGGTTATGTTCAAAACGTCAGCTTTTTAACTTTTTACAGTAGCCAATTAACAAATTCGGCAGCATTGTCAAAATCAATAGTTATTAACTTAATCAAGCTGAAGAAATGTATTTTTATTGAGTATTATCTATGATCTACTGCTGGACAGATGACAACAATTTCATTCATGGTGATCAATTAATGCTTTTTGGCTGCCAGATAGTGAGTCTTGGAGTCATGAAGGATGTTATTGAACAAGTAGGCACTGTTATGATTCAATGAGATGTAAATACATGACACAGACAAGTCCCCTTGACAAAATTTACAACCTTCTCCGAACGGGAGGGGTAGGGGAAATGGGGGATGCGAGATCTCATTTTCCATTCTTTGCACTTAGACTAATTTTTTTCTCTTCCCTAACTATTCAACTTCAAAATATGAAAAAACGAGAGAGGGAAGAAATTTGTCATTTCATAATTTAAAATTCTATCTAGTCAAGTCAAAATTAAAAGCTTTTCAAGTCACTTGCATAAGCATGCTTCTTCTTAAGCTCGTTAAATATGGAATAATAATTTTACGGACGTTCTTCGGTACAACGTGAACAGGTCATGACACATAATTTGACAGCTGTGCACATGCAAGCTAATCGTGCAGAGATACAGCACCTGAAGCTCAAGTTGCTGAATTCTTGGATCATGAACGGCCTCATTATCATCAGAGTCTTCGGATTCCGAGCTTCCACATTCCTCATTCGCAGCTTCATCGATGTTCTCTTCAATATTTTGATCCTCTGTCGTTCCGCGTGCGTCCTCTTCCATCTTCATATTTTCCGCCATGTTGAATGTACAAGATAGCAAAGGACTCTGGGTAGAATAGTTCAAAAGCCCGCGATGTATGACAGCAAAACCTCAGAGTATGCGCAGTAATTTCAACTAAAAAGAAAAAAAATTAAGCAAAAGTTTTGAGAGATGGAGCAAACATGGCCGACTTGGGTGAGAATTTATGCTCTCCAGATTTGAAGGAAGAAGAAACTGTTTTAGCTCTACGACTCGCTGAAGCTCTTCGGGCCGATGAAGTTGAAACCTTTCTCGAGATTTATGACAGTATTCCATGCACTACCGACAGGAAACGGGTGAGTTTTCAAAAACTGTTCCGGTTGCCATGTAAACAACCCGAAATTTTTCATCTTTATTTTTGATGATGCTAGTCGCGTTGTTGATATTCAAAGAGCTGTTATCTCGTGGTTGAAATACTCCAGTCTCGACAGTTTCCTGGCGGGTATATCCGAAACCAGTTGCCTGGTGGCGAAATTTATGCATTTTTGGACATGTGACCATCTATCGGGTGGATATTATGCAATCCTTGCCCAATACGTCCCAGATATAGAAACGTGGACGTAAAGGTCACACAAGGTCTTGGCTTATTCAGGACGAACAAATAGAATTCCTGTAAGCCCTACGGCCATTGAGTTAATATCAGTGCGTCAGCAGTCTCGATAAAACTCGCTTTCATCGGACGAACTTTGCCCGATTGCATTACGTGGATCTCGTATTTCACAAATTTCCACGCGTACGATTTCACCGTTTACGGAGCTTACCCACGTTTGTTAATGTGGATTGAAGGTAAAATGATTTTAAATATGTCAGTGTTCTTTCGCTCCCATTTAATAATGGCAACGAAAAATTGCGAAAAAACCGTATGATTCAAGAAGGTGTTTGGGGAGATCGAAGCAAAACTGTGCAATGTACAATGTGGTTTGGGCTCCATGTCAGCAGTGATGTGATACACGGCGAGTGTTTCGACGGATGATTCCATCGCTAAGCTAACCTTCTTTAAAACAGATCCAGACTAAGTAGTTCAACAAGACTTATAAGTTACGCAGGTTGATATCGAAATTTTCGCAGCCCAGCAATTTCTGTTTCCCAAGCCGTGTACACATATTAAGTATAAAACTTCGACATGTGCGATTGATATAGAGCTTCCATAGATTACAATAGAAAAAAGGATATCCGTTTATTGGTACGCATGAACTACTGCACGAAAAATTTTTAACTACCCTTATGTTTTATGAACGAATCTGTTAAAAATTTGTTGTGCGAAACTGTTATTGATATTTATTTCAAACACGCTTAGACGGAAACTCTGTACCATGCACAACTTTCCGCAGACAGCTCATTTGTACTTTAGGTACTCAATATCACTTAGTGTGGAGTTGATGAAATGTTTACTTATGATTTGATTTTTTGGATTTGTTTTGTTTAATCAAATTTACTCAAAAATAATTTAAAACTATATATTTTGTGCAACGTTTACTGAAAGATGATTTACTTTATCAGTGATCTGCTTTTCCTACTTGTGTCGTTAATATTTATGATTACATCATCTAATAGAAGTGCATTGTTTTCTTGTATAAAGCTCTCTAGAGCATGGTTTCAAAAGCATAAAAATTCCTTACTGTTGAGATTAAGTGACAAAGTATCATTTTGAAACTGAAATACAGCAATGGAAACTGCTCCGTTGGAAAAATCCTCAACCATTGAGAGTGTATTACGTAATCTGTGGCTTACACCTAGACAATTGGAAGGATTGTCTGGCCAAAAATTTAAATTTACTGTAGAGTGTCAGTAAAACTTGATATTAGTGGAGTTTATTGGTTTGCATCCAATATCTTCAACCACTTCTAACTAAATCTCAAAATTGTATTTATAATGCATTTTTTGTTTTGCTTCTGTTGAGAGTGTTCTACAGCCAATATATATTTACCTGAAATTGGATCAGTGCTGGCATTGTGTTGATGAAGGGAAGAGATTGGTTGATCTCTTTGTTAAAATGATTAGTTACAAGATTTGGATTTGGCCCCGACAGACTTTCTTTTATGGCAGATCATCTTGGATTTCTAGTTGTACTTTAAACATGATATAGTGTAACTGGTGGCACTGACTCCTGTCTTTCACTTGAAAAAAGCATTGTTGGTTTTTTTTTGTTTTTTTGTTTTTTTTTTTTGTTTTTGCTGATTTGATACTTAAGATGTTGTTTTAATCATAGAAATGCTAATAGTTTCATAAACATTTTTTTCCTTTCATTCTATTTTCAGGTTGATAAAATAAAAGAGATGGCAAGACAAGTTGCAGCACTTCCTAAGAAAACATTTGAGCTCTATCGTTCAAAGAAAATACTCTCTAGTAGTGACTCTCATGCATTTTTTCCTCCAAGTTCAAATCACATTTTAAAGGACAAGTTAGCCCCAAATTCCTTCACCATAACAACTCCAGTAGACAATTTACCAAAGGAGCTAAGTGATGTTCAAAACAAAGAGGATGTTATTTGGTCTGCAGATAATCCTGTGGATCTAGTAGACACTGATGTGAAGCAAAAAAGTAAAAACAAAAAGAAGAGGAAATCAAAAAAAGGCAAAGTGCCAATTTCTTTGCAGGAATCTTCAGTAGCAAACAGCATTAGTAGTGCAGAAGAACCAAGGGCAGGTGATTTGGAGATGAAACACAAAGTTCTTGGCTTAGAAAATTGTGCTCCTCTACATGTCACTATGAATACAAATCTTGTCGCAGACATTTCAAATGGAAGAGATTTGGAAACAACTCAAAGTTCCAAAGCAATTGAAATGGACTTGACATCTTGTGGAAGTTCTTCATCTAATGACAGTGGAATAGTGACCCCAGATTCTGGACTAGGTTGGGATCTCTGTTTTTTAAAATGGTTATAATAATGGAGGATATATAGAGAAAGTAATTTAGGGATATTTTTTGAAGCATGCTTTTTTTCGCTGGAAAATGGTAATACCTCTTTACCCAAGTTTTCTTGTCATTTTTTGTTTTCATAGTGCAGGTTTTATAGGTGGTGGCGCCCTCTAGTTGTAGGAATTTTATGGTTTTGCTTTGTTCAAGGCTTACTTGCATGCTAAGTTTATAGGTCTTTGAACCACAAAATGCAACTTGTTTTCTAGGTAAATTTGTATGAGTTACCCGATGGAAATGTTCAAGGAAAAGAAGTTTGCCTTGAAATTGTCTTTGATGTTCCTAGTTGTAATAGCTCAGCAGTTAGAGGAACTCCGCTAAAGAAGTGTTCACTTGTTGCATGTACTTTGAGAGCTGCTGTGTTGTTACAATTTATGGATGATATTGATGTACTTGGATACAGTGTGGACAATGTATTGACAAATGGTGACATAATCAACACCTATATAGTTATTCCAGTAAGGCCATAAATAGTTCAAGATGAGTTTTTACATTTACTGGTACTTGTTAGAAATTTATGCTTGGATTTTTTTTCTGTTACTAAAGGATCACATACCTCACCAGTCTTTGCCAAAGAACCACCATTTGGTTTTCCACCTTCCTCTGAAAAGCTGTTGGAATCTGCCTTAGAACTCTTACCCAATGTTAAACTTGGAAGTGCTAATTCGTCTAGTAAGACAGATACCACAAAGTATATTAAAAACAGTTCCCCAGACTATGGTAGCAACCAAAAAGAGGCAGAACAGGAGGTCAAAAATTGTCAAGCTACAGCAACAGATACCAGGGACCTATTACAGAAGGATAATGTGAAGGAAGATATTAATTCATATGATATAGAGGATGATCCTGTGAGTGACGTTTCTGATGTTAAAGAAGTGTGTAAAGACTTCGTCGTACTTGAGGGAGACTCTGTGGATGGGGATGTCTCAAGTTCATCTGCAGTGGAGGAAGAGGGGGGCTGGCAGTCCCAAACAAAAAGATCACACCGCAAGAAGAAGAAGGATCTTGCAGTTAGGACAAACAGGGAAAAGAATCACATGGAGAGATTTCAAAGGAGAGACTTTCCCAAACAACAGTCTGACAGTCAATTTAGGAAGAACCACCATCATAGAAAGTGTGTGGATGATAAAAAGAGTCACTTCAAATCATCCGAAAACAGAAATAGCACTTTTTACGTTGAGCCTTCCATAATGAATTCAATTGTAAATGGCCAGTTGCAAGTTAAGACTGCCAAAGACAATGAAGCAAAATTTAATAAAGGACCTGATAATAAAGGGTTCTCTTATAGAGATGCATTGATCAAGGCAAGAGGAAAAGGTAGGATTTCCTGTCAAATTCTTTGTAATATCAGTTCTATTAGTAGAGGCAACAACTGGAGTAATTAATTTCAGTTGAGTTGCGAAAGCAAGCTTAGATTGTTGTGGGAAACGGGCAAAATTGAAAAAGTGGAAAACTTTGCAACAATAAAGTTTTATCCTTTTGTACTCTTCTTTGCCATTTCAAACATGCTTCCCATGTTGATATGTACATGTATTTCATGTTCTGGTAGAATGAGTGTGTGATTCAGTCAAGTGAAATGAATACTACATGGTGACCATGTGAAATGACTGAGGGATTATAGCTGTGTCATGATTTAATACATTAAGACATCCTTACCAGAGGTGAAAAGGTCAACAGAGTGCCTTGAAACTATCTCTACTGTTCAGTTCTGTAATAGCTCAGCAGTTGGACAAACAAGGCTACAGAAAAATTCCTAATTACTTGAGAACCACTGTCTTGTTTTTAATGCAGAGCAGTGGGGTAAAGATTAGGTACATCTTCTTGTAACCCTTTACACCTTAATATCAGTGTGCATAATTTATTCTCCATACTATTCTCCGTACGTTTCCTAAGATGCTGACAATGAGAATTTACGTAACAATTGAGAGAGCTTCTTTAGTTGGTGATCATTTCTTTTATCCTCATGACCTTAAAGTTTGATTCAGTATCTATACTGTAAGGAGAAATAAGCTGCTAGTCACTCTTGGGTAAAGGGTTCAGCTGCACTTCATGCACTGCTTATGATGCAAAAGAATAAAAAATCAAAAGATGTTAGTATGACATTAAACATTATGTTTGAACTTAGGACATTTGTTCATTATGTTTTACAGGTGAGCCTAATGAAAGTAGTGACAGTGGAGTTGATGCTAACAGTGTCAGCTCTTGTGAAATGAGCAGTCGGCAAGTGGAGACACCAAGGGACACATTCAACAAACAGCAGTGTGTGGACTATTTACATAATGGTGAGTGGTATCTTAAGATTATTATTTTCGTACCTTTTACTGATTAACTTGATTGTAAATCAAACCTCATCCCAGCTGACAGATCAACAGAATGAGCAAAGGGAGGAATTTTTTTCTTATGGAGAGAATTTTTTCTAGTGTATGCTGGATGCAAATACATGACAGTTGTCAATATTTTGTGCTGTTTTTGTTTGTTTGTGCTTGAATACAGCCTTGCCTGGTTAAACTGACTTTTTAATTATCTCTCCTTTTTGGTCAATATTCATCATTTCAGCATGGAAGAAAGTAATGCTTGAGGCAAAGGAAGGTGAGTATAGATGTAGTAATAATCTTTGATTGTATCATTCATTTCTCCACAATGTTTTTGTTGCTAGGATTTCTGCAAATTTCTGTATCTTTTATTAGAAATATGAAAGAAAATTCTTAAGTAAGACAGGTAACTGCACAAGAATCTTTACCTTTCTTCTGATTGATTGTGACAATTATGTTGGTATTACTTGTATGACATAAAGTTTTGAAAGTGTTCCTTAGTCTTTAAGAATGACCATGCCTTTTACCATCATCTCTTAAACAAAACTGTAGCGCAAACAGACATGGGGAAGAAACTTTGGTGACAATGATTTCTCTTTGTTTTTCTAGGTCTTGTGATTTGCTTCAGTGTGGATTCAGATCCAGTTTTGTGTCAGCAGAAGCGTAAGCAACAGGCTGCCAATAAGATGAATGCAAAGATGCATTAGAAGGAGCAAGTTCTTCTCCCCAAGAGACCATGAAAATGTATAACTTAGCTGCTAATATTGTTAGGCCACTGGGCTGTATTTATGGCACTTACAGAGCAGCCGCTAATTTAGTTAGGTAGGTATTTAATATTATTTCTCTCGGCAAATTGAGCAGTGTTTTGAGACTTGATTTCAATTTCAGAATATATTCTGGAATCTTGAGTCCTAAAGGTGCATTATTATTTGAATTAGTAAGTGAGTGTGACATGAAAGTGTCAATATCTAAGTAATTTATTTTAGGTAAAAATGTCATTTAAATTTGATCTTTGACAATGTAGCTACATCACTGATACATTTTACCAAGCTTTAGCAGGTGTTTCCCTGACAACTAGAACTGTTTTGTACCATTCACCTACTCCTTCACTTGTCTCTACTGACTAGAGCCTCGAGCAGGCTACCTGATATTCTGAATGATCTTAACACAAGTTAATATATGACATAAAGTTCCATCTTCTCCCCCCACCCCACAGAAAAAAAAATTAGAAGGAGAAAAAAAGTTAATGAACTGATTGTGGATAATATGAAGTCAGCCCATTTTCAGCTTATAAAGATGAAGTTTGGACTAGAAAACGAGGCCTATTGCATGACTTCTGAGCAAATCATCTCAGCAGAAAGAAAAAAAGAGAGATTAATTAAAGTATATTCTTCACTGTTAGATGAGATAGAAGAAAAAACTTTCATTCTTGGAAATTTACAATTCCGATTAAAAAGTGAAGGTGCAAACCAGGCTTTAAAGGGAAGTAATTCTGTATGCAAGGTGGGTTTCTCATCAATGCCTGATTCAGGAGCTCCAAAACTGGGAGCTTAAATTTTACAAATTCTACAGGACTTTTTTATACTAATATTACCCAAAGCCATGGATAGTCAGATACCCACTATTTAAGGGCATATGAAAAGATTAAGGAAATGATTTTGTTTTAATGGAATAGGTATATCCCTGAATTGAACAACAATGAACTTTGAAACAATTTTTGGACTGTCTGTTCCTCTTTATAGCCCATCTCCACCTTACTTGGAATAAGTAAAGAAAACTAAATAGAATCTGAATTAATTTTTTTGGAATTTGTTGAATAATCAAGAAGACATATTTATTTTTTTTAGACTAGTGTTGGCTATTTGACTATTTACAGGTTTCTTGTTTGTTTATGTGTTTCAATTTATCTTGGCAAATTTTCTCTGTGAATGATTCTTCTGCAGAATTAAATTGAATTATGTAATATAGTTGGGGAAACTTTTTTCAAGCTCTGCTTGAGGATTGTTTCTTCAAAGTATTTAAAAGATTACAAGGGTGATACTATGACAATTCCAGAATGCGTGTGGTTAGGATTTGTTAGCGTTAGTTAAGGGCCCGTGTGAACAATTTGAGGTCAAATTTTTCTGTGAAACTTCAGTGGGTGAAAGATTTATCTGCTTGCAATTACGACTAATTTTGGGTAGAGTCCGAGCTGTATTGAATAATAAACTTTTCGAAGTTTTATTTAATTTTTTAGACAGCATACGCTTGCAAATCTTGTTTGCAGTGTAGGTGTGTAATTTCATCGGCTCCTGGATTTTCTTTGCTTTCCTTTCAGGAACAAATATGTGCAAAAACATATTTGAACATTTGAAACTAACTTGCAAATTTTTTTCTTTATCCAGTTTTTCCGCTGGTTTGTGGAATGTTGTCATGTAGTTAGATTTCAGTGGAGTGACCGTGATGAAAATATCTATTTTTTTTAATTGAAAGATACGAAGACATTATATTAAGCATTGGTATAATTACGTGTTATTAGGCTGGGAACAGCTTTCGTTAACAGCAAATTTCCGAATAAGAGTGAACATTCTCCGATCGCTGGTGAACACCGTGAGCTTCAAGTTCATGGAAGACATGAGCTCAGATTTAATTTATTTCCTCCGAGACGATTGCCGGTTTCCCGGATAGTGCTGAGTAATTTGGGGAGCATTTTTCAAGGTAATTTATTGTCCTCGTAGTTGTGATAGGAACCAATTACTTCGAGTAATTTGGTGTTTGAAAAGAACATTATTTGACTCATTTTCTGAGAAATCTTGTAGGATAAAACTCTAGGAAATATAGACGTACTTCTACTGCACATTTAGAGCTTTCTTTCCCCAAGTTGATCCAATGATCGGTTTTAGGCTTTGTGCATCATGAAAGCGCAGCCCTAACTTTTCTAGTTTAGTCATTTGCAATCCTTCATTTGTAGGTGCAGTAGCCAAAGTTGCAAACTTGCTGCTAGTCAGGGAAAGGGTTAATTAACTAATTATTTAAAGTTTGAGGATTAAAACTTGAATTTGTACAAACATCTAACCTGTTTTTATTTACTTGTGTGGACCGTGCTTGCTTGACGGTGATTGCCACTTCCCACGGGCTGGTGTCGAGGCAACTTTACCCCCATGTAACTAGTCTTAGAGGTGTCTTGCCAACTTACAATCGGGATTGTACGAACTGGACAAAGAACATTCGATAGCTACTCTCTTGACTCTGATGATGACAACCGCATAGGTTGTCGAAACGTCCGTCACCACCACCGACAACAGTCTTTCTAAGGACTACACTCACCTTGATGATCGTACTACACTTTCACCTTTCGCCCAAATAATTAACTGAATCGGGATTATAGTCACTAGTTATGTGGCTTACTCTTACGACCGATTACCTTTCTAAAGGTAATAGAGGCTCTTTCTTTTTTTTCTGCTTTTTTTTTTCTTTACCTGGCGAGTTTTGTTACACCTTTTCTTGCTGATATTCCACAAATATGTTCACACCCAAACAAAGAAAAATATCACCTGAGCAACAACGGGTACAATGCCATATTGCCGCTGAAGGGGAAACGGTGATTATAGGCTGAACCCTTAACCTAATAGTCCAAATTGTGTCCATGGTATAGTTAAGCACTAGTATAGGATCGACAGACGTTTAAAATAATTTCCCCCGTGGAACTTCCCGTGAAAGTTGCAATAGATGTCAAGGGCCTACACGCATATCAGAAATAAAGCACTCGGAAGCGATAACGTTATCTAAGCTAACAGTTTGACGATGCTAAACTTCCTCCAAATCCTTAATAGTCTCGATACCTCATTCAGAGATCAAGTCACGAAAAATAGACCAACTTGTGAGGAAATGTGTGGCCTTAAAACTATTGTAGTCTACTAGCAAGAGCCCCTGTGTGGTGGTAACTCGTTGGCTGTGAATTGTCCAAACTTTCCAACGAGTTCGTTATCGTCAGCGTACTGAGGGAAGAAATGGATCGACAGTATTGGGGTCGAAGAACTCCGGTCGGCTTCAGTTCGGTTTTGGGCTCATGAGGCAGGTTTTTCTCAGGGCGGTAGAGGATTACGTACAACTTTGGTCCAAAAAGGCAAACGAGAGCTACAGTACAGCAAAGTATGAAAAGAAAACAAGCTGTAATTGTCCTGTAGAGTCCCTTGGTCCCTAAAGCTGTTGGAATGAAGACCGCTCCGCTAATACACACAGTGACCATGCTGAAGGTGATAAACTTGGCTTCGTTGTAATTTGCGGGAACTTTGCGCACGAGGAAGGCTTGGTACGTACAGAGAAGAATGAGAGCAGCGTTGAACACCGCCCATATCGTCACGCCCTCTAGAGATTCGCCAATGCACTCCAGCACGACTTGGTGACTTCCGTACGTGACTCTCACGGGCTTTTGCGGCGAGACGATGATCCATGTGGCTGCAATACAGTTTTCAACCAGGACACACAGCAATACAAAGAGCAGCTGCCACTTGTTACTCAGAAAGTAAGCCTTGCCAGTGCGCATGGTTTTCGTGCTGAAAATCCGCGCAATACGATTGGTCTTCGTCAAGAGTGCCCCAATCACCAAAGCTACGCCAGTGCTGATTAAAAACGGGTGAATTTGGCAAAACAGGGATGTCGGTTGCAATATAAAAGCGATAGGAAGGGCGTAGCACCATGCTAGACCAAACAGAAGCACGTAAGAAATTCCTCGACTGGAGGCCTTCACAATCGGCGTATTCCTTTGTTTAAATATCGACACAAAGGTTACTAAAACAGCAGATATTCCTACCCCACTGACACAAGCTACTGCCATTCCGGGGATGGTGTGAAATATCTCTTTTGAGGGAATTACAATGCAATAGGACTTGCCACTATTGGCTGTCATTCCCTCCGGGCAACTCACACACGCCGTCGCTTCTGATTGGTTGCTGATACTGTTGCCATCACAGCGAAGGCAGCTCCAACAGCATTCTGGGTAGTGCTTCTTAGGGTCTTTCCAATGCCCAGGTCTACATCTCGGACTACACCTTGCAAAGGACTGAAAATCACTGAAAGGATGTCTTTGGAGCTCGTATCGAGAGGAAAATTTAAACCTCTCTCCCAAATACCAGCTCCCAAGAATGTCAAAGAAATATTTCCCGCCACTATTGTTAAGAAAGATGATATTGTAGTAAGCTTTAGCGCTTCCACTATCGTCAAATGACACTCGATGACCAGAGGGCGACGCAAAAGAAGAGTTTTTGATGAAGTTATACACTTCAGATTGTATTGTGTTCGATATGTGGACAAGACAAGCCTTGTCGGAACAGCGGTACATGTTATGCAAGCCATACGCTACGGCATACACCGCGTCAATTGCGGTTGTCGTATATGAAGAGTAATCAACAGGCTCAGTTGAATTCAACAGTTTCTTAACGTATCGTCGGTAAGCCGTCAACCAAGGGTTTCGCTTCAGGCGCTCTTGAGTGATGTTCTCAAAATAATCTCTGAAAGGCTCGAAAACTTTCGAGTTGGGTTCTATGTTGATCCAGTATTTTAAAATATCTTTGTTGTTGCGGAAAACCGAGTAAGATCGAGCGAATGCGTCAGAACCAATCCAGATGTAACCAGCCATGTTTTCCTCCCGCGCCACGATAATGAAATAATCCGCATCATTCATTTCGGCGAAAAGTACGATCACTTTCGCTTCAGGATGTTTGCGAATCTTCAACATAATTTCGCGCACTTTCGCCTTGGGTGTTCTCACGGTGAAGACTTCATCGACGGCGATGCAAATACGAGAATAGTTCCGACTGCTCCCGATCAATTGCTTAAAAGCATCGATTCCCGAGCGTCCATACTCCGTATCTGAGGCGACAGTTGAAACGAAGTTCCAATCCAACTCGCGAATGATGTCAACCATGGCTTGAGCTTGACACGTGTCAGACGGAACAGTGCGTAAGAAGTTTTTGAAACGCTTGCGGTCACTTAGGAGCCGACTGGTGGAGGCGTAACTAACAACTGGCACGTGGAATAGTCCTACTAGATTTGCCACAGCGATTGTAATTCCACTGTAAGCAGCTCCTACAAGAGCGACGCCCATTTCTGGCAACGTTTTCAGCGTAGAGGCGTTAAGCGTCAATCCACAGGCTCGAATATTGTCAAGTTCTGCGCGCATATACGCTGCACGGATAAAACCGAACTGTAAAGATTCTTGAATCGTATGATCAACGCTGTTGCAAGTGTCTTTGATGTCGACACCCAGAGAGATTCCCGGTAGTAAGGTTTCGTTTTTGTTGATTTGATCCAAAGCGTAAAGAATCGCTTCAGCATGCTGCAGGCCGCGGAAGTTGAACGGTCCCCTGCAATGACGAGAGAATTTCCCGTGTGAATTCTGCTCGGGATCTTCTTCTCTTGTACCCGGAGGGTAGTGAATCGGCGCTAGACCGGCCAACATGACATCTCCTGGAATAAAAATCCTTGGAGATCCATCACTCAACATTTTCATCTCAACAAGAAATGTACTCACGCCTAATAGAGTCAACCAACCGACAAACATATTCCTTGAAAGAAATCGAGACATTCTTCACTTGGAGACTGCTCATGGAAAGGTGAACTTTTTCAGAAGATGAAAAACTTATGTTTCCTGTTGTTTTCCTTTTTCAATATCCTAACTATTTACCAAGCCCTATAGCGATATCCTTTTCCTTTGTTTTGCAACCAGAATGAATGCTTTTGCGATTTGAAAACGCAGTAATTAAAACTCGTCCATCATTCGGAAAGAAAAATTTTTTCTCAGCTTCTTCTTGATAGCCTAGACAGTACACAAACACCCTACTGAGGAGTACCTTTTACAGTAAGTGTTTCTAAGAAATTGGAATCAAGCGCCAAAATGTTTGGCTCCAATGTTTGGCTTCTGTTCAAATACAGCCCCTACACGTCGACCGTTTCCGCCTTTCCGCGGCATCTATGCTTCCACAAGAACGGATAACAGAAATAATGAGATGTGTGTAAATACTGAACGAACAGAGTGTCAAGGCTGGGGGTGTAAGCCTTTTAAATTGAAGTTCGAGTTGACGTAAGAAAATTCTGTTTTCCCCACAACCGGATATCAATTGCCGGAAAGCAAAAACATTTTTTTCAGAGATAATATTACCTAAAACTTCGAATTGTTCAAGCTCGTTTAGGTTTAATTTGGAAAATTACATGAGGCAAAAGCTGAAAATTTGCGTCAGTTTGAAAATTAATAGCCAAAATCAGCTGTTCCTGTTATGGAAATTGGTTTGCGGACCGAAATTAATTTAACATTTTTTGTCTTTGAATCTGAAAGTTCTGATGGCATAGCAAACACGAAGAATTCCGGCAGGTGTAAGGGAATTATGAAAATTTAATAACTAGCCGACTATCTTTGAAAATTAAAGTTTCTGATCAGTGATGCATTCAGAGTAACAATGAAAAGTGTCCTTAGTCACCAAAAATTCCGCTTCATCATCAAATTGTGGACAGTTTCAAGGAACATCAAAATGTTGTTTGAAAATTCATCTCTTAGATGTCATTTACGGCACTATTTGTTTGCGCTATTGGAAGACCTTATCAGTGGTTGTTAACTTGAGTTCGGCTTTTTGAGTTTATCAGTAAACCTCTTAATTGTTAATGAAAAAGAACTCTTAATTTCTATTATCTGTAAGGGAACATGACAGTCTAAAAAATTTTGATCGAGTTCCTCTAAAGGTAGTAGTATTGGATAAAAACGATCATCAGCTTTTACATGACATCTTTTTCTGTCAGCTTCATTAAAAAAGACTATTTGACTAACTTGATGACAACAGCTTTATAATGGAGTTTTTTTAAGAGCCACTCTCTTCACTAAACAGAGATCACAGTGCAATCATTTTTCTTTCTCCTCTATTGATTTCAATGCGAACAGACGGTAAAATATGTGATAACAAAAAAAAAAGAAGCTGTCCAAACATTCAGTTTCACCGAGAGTTAATTGGGAGTTGACACACAAAAACAAGTACACCGATCCAACCCAGTTCCCAAGGCCTTTTCCCTTACTTGGGGATGGGACGACAAGGCCCTGGGAACGATGTTGACACCAATCAAAAGGTGGAGTGGAACACCCTTTGTACAAAACCCACGTTAGCCATGTCTCTCTTCTAGCTTTCCATGGCTTGGCTTGAGTAATGGCGCACTGCATCTTGAGGCTGTTTTTGGCCTTTAGCCTCCCGGTTAGCTCCATTGGTTAGAGCGCCGGATTGTGTTGTGCGGGAGGTGGAGGGTTAGAGCCCCGGCCGGACCAATACTCATGGTCTTAAAATAAGTGAGGAGAATTTGTTACCTTTCTATAATATCAAGAAATGGATAGATATTCTAGTATTCTCGGATAAGGACGAATAAACCGTAGGCCCCGTCTCCTGCAGGGTTAGGGGTAGGAGACGTTATTTTCCACGCACGAGATTACTATGTGGTGGATGTCCTCCCCTGGGGTGGGATGGGAGCGAAGGTGAGATCGTTACATGGACTGAAGCGGCTGCCAGAGGCGCCTGATAATGCTGACGTCCGATCTAAACCTAAACATTGTAACTAGACACGTTTGTTGTTTAGAGTGCTTAAGACTTTCTTTCTTTCTTTCTCTGATAGAGATTGGCATCTCGACAACTGCCATGGAAAGAATAGGGAGGTTAAGCAAATCACTACGGCTGGCGCTGCTACGGCTATCGTGGTTGACGAGGCTTGGGGAGAGTACGTCGCCGTAGCCCGCCAAAATCCAACTTTAAGCAACGCGAACTACAAACCTAGTACGGCTGAGAACTGTAAAACCAATAAATTAAGCGTCTTCGCGGTAGTTTATTGCACGTCTAAAAACTCAAAATGACTTCGTTGAAAGGGACGAGGGATTCCAACGTTTGGAAAAAAAAATTGTAAGCGATCCTGTGCACAGTGAATGAATGAATTAAAATATTTGAGCTTACGTGTTGTAAAATTGCCAGTTTGGAGCTTATAAACACCAAAGCAAAGTTTCTACACGGTCCCTCATAACCCTCGTCATTCCTTGGCTTCAGCTATTTGAATTTCAAGTAGTCTTTGAGGTTTGAAAAGGAAAAGTTAGACTTTCTACCTACGCATTTCACTTTGCGTTCGCTGCGTTCTCCATGTGCACACTGCTTCGATCCTTCGACAAACCCGGCGGCAAAAATAAAGGCAGATTCACTCGGTAAGGGACAGCAAGCTTGATAAATATTCCCGATAAGCTATTTTTAAAGATGTTAAGTGTATTTCAATAGTTAAAATTGCTCAGGAGAATGTATAAAGCGAAGAAAGAAGCGAGATAAGTTCACGTACCACAGACTACGCCGAAACCTTCCCACTCGCGTAGAAGGATTTCCCGCTACGGCTGGATGGGAACCACTGACATGCGCAATGACTCGTTTCTGGACAATTTTACTTCCGGTAGCCGTAGCAGCGCCAGCCGTAGTGATTTGCTTAAACTCCCTAATAACACATTTTC